AATTGCCAATAAACATTTATGTCGCAGTTGCAGCCGCCGCCCCTTGAACAAGACACAAGCGGAGGTGCGCTCAGGATAATTCCCAGCAACTCCGTGTTGAAAACCAGCGGCAAAATTTACATAAGATGGAAGCCTACAAAATAAATTTATTTGACGGCAAGACTTGCTTAGGCCTCACCGCCGGCAGCCATTTTCTGCAGCCGGCATCTCGGCCGGTGAATATGATGAGGGAAATGCTGGGCTGCATATGTGATGAGGGAAATGCTGGGCTGCATATGTGATGAGGGAAATGCTGGTCTGTCGATTAGATGAGGGAAATTATGCGCGACCATGTTTATAAGAGGGATGTTCTGGGCTTAAAATGTAAAAAAAAATTAAATAGTAAATCAGATTCGAAAAATGTTAGGAAGGAAATGGTAATAGGGAAATACTGTTGGGGTAATAAATCAAGAAAGAATTTTAGAAAGTAATCAAATTTTCAAGCAGCTGAGATAGGAATTACGAACTGTTAGCACGGTAGTAAAAGAATCCTATGGAAACGAGAAGTACACTTTTGAGTAAAGCTACTGAAAAAAAAAAAACAGAAAAATCGACCAAGTGGATGTAGTAGCAAAAAATCGTACTCGTACGAGTACAGTTTCAAAGTATGATAGGATTGGTAACTCACTCACAGCGATAGAAATAGAATAGTTCGCGTTGTTAACGCGAGCGATACATTGAATAAAATCATCTCCAGGAATAAAAATAAATAAAAACTTTCAATTTATTCAGCTTGGGTGCGAAAATGGAATGATATATCACTTAGAAATTTCATATTCTACGATCTCAATATTGAGACATAGAGCTAAAATTGCACCACATTTATTTTCCGCCATGAAATTCGACTTAGCCAGCACAGCGAGTTTCCGCCATTAAACTCAATGAAACTTGACATAGCCAGCACAGCGAGTGTACACGCACAGCCATCTTGCACGACTCGACGTAATGGCACTCGACACAGGCACGCTTATATTGTCGTCATATGAGGCGTCCTTGCGGTTCAATGGAGTGGGACATCAAAGCCAGAAGTCTTCAAAGCAATTTTTGCAGCTCCACACACTCAAAACACCCTACGTAAACTAGTCAGGAGCAAATGCAATCGATAATACGAAGTGAAACTGTACAAGTGAGCCATCGACAACAGATATAATCGGAAATTCTTTCTTCCATTTTCCAGTAGATCGTCATCAGGATACAAAATGTCAGTAGTAACGACATGAAATAAAAAAAACTTTGAATTTACAATAAAATAAAAATTTAGCAAGTTTTTGCTTAAAATATTCCATGTATGCACTGGAGTTCAAAGTAATTTATCCCACAAGCGCCTGATACACATTCTCTAGGATCGACAGGGTACAATTTTTCCCGCGCCGAGACTACCTAGCCGCTACCTGCTCGCAGGCCACTAACTTAATTCCGACGCTTTTTCAGCACGAGACTTGGGCTCGCAATTTTGCATGATAGCCGTAGAGGGCTGGGCAGGAAAATGCTCGCCTGCAGCCTTCCTACCTGAGCCTATTGAAGCGCTCGGTACAGAAGTGCTGTGTGGCCCAGCTCAGTGATGGACCTTATTGGGTGGGGCTTACAGCGTATATAGTCAAGCCAACACCGTTTATTATTATTCATTTCAATTTTATTATTTTGCGTACATTTATGGGATTGAAATGCAATACAGAATTTGAAAAACTATTCCATAAAATTAATACATTTACCAACATATGTTGATGTAATACATAAAACAAATCTCGAAAACATGTAAAACGGTTGTAAATCGGTTATAAGGCCTCATTAGACAATTAAATGCTTAAAATATATTAAGAATACTGTAGAAGAAAAATATTTTGCTGGAGAGACGTCCGATGCGTGAGAAATCAATAATTTTAGTTTTGAACGCGCAAGAAAAGTCGGTTGGGAGTTTACTAGCGCTTCAACTATTGAGATATCACGCAATAAAAAAAGCAAGAAGTGTAGTATATCACACAAAAGCTCACAAATTTTCATCAATAAGAAGTTATTCATGATTTATTCAGTGTGTTGGTTTAAGACGTTATTTAGGTCTTAAACTACCAACACACTGGAGCCCACGGTGTAGCTGAGGAGACATAGAGACGAGCAGATTGAGATAAAAACGAAGACACTAAAGGACAAGATGTCACTTACGCTGCTCACCTGCCGCTTGCTTCAATTGGACAGAGCGAGGAACAAACATGGCCCAAGATCAAAGGCAAGAAAGCAGACATTCTCAATGATGATTAAATTTCAGAGCTCAGCAAGGACTATCAATCACGGCTGAGCAGCCACTGAGCTCCTAGGGATCGACAGGACTCGTTAAACGGAACCATGTGCGCCAATACATCAAACGATCAAGTTCATCGTGGTTTTTACCGACCGATGAAGTAAGTCATTGAACGGAAGTCGATGATCTCTTACCTTGCGCCTGATTTATTGCGGCAACGGATTTCGTGGATACGAATAAGAACGATCAGACAGAAAATCGAAAAAAAGTTTTGCGGAAGCAGCCAAGCAGAATTTTTTCCTGTCAAATTGCGATCGAGATGAATCGTAGGCCACATGTGATGCGCAATCAATCTTCCTTCCAAGATATTTCTCGAAGTTCATCACGCAAATATTTGTGACAAAATTAATGCAAGAAGGTACAGTCGGAATGTTCATGGGACAGGAATTTAATCAGTACACATCTGTCGTAATAATTAAGTTATAGCTCACTAAACACGTAATTGGCCGGGATTGTTCCAGTGCATCAATTTCGTGCAATGATAAGTTGAAAGCCGTAAAATTTGGAGAGAGGCGAGTTGCAAACACAAACAATCGGAAAATTCCTCTGTCAAATCGAAATAAAAATGTTTCACTAGAAACACAGCACCCAATACCCATCATTTTCTCCCTGATATCTTCGCTGCAAACAATTGGGATGAACTTTCAATTTGCATTTCAATGAAAAACTCCAGCAAACGTACAATAGCGGATTCCCAGTGATCAGCGCGATAGTGTTCTTATGATCTTGTCTACGTCGACACTGGACGTATATTTTGGAAGCTGGAAATTATCAGCAACATTTAAATTGCGGTCAAAATCAAGAAAAAGCATCAAAATTATCGATTAATTATAATTGCGCTCGTTTGTTACTCAAATCGAAAATTTAGTGATATTAGGATGACAACTCTAGCGATTTATAAATAAAATTGAAGTGGGAAAATCCTGGAAAACTGATTATTTACTATATCCTCTCATTTCATAACCTGACTGTGGACAGAGGGAGTTTTATAAGTCTTCGTACCGATCAGCTCCAGCCTGCGCATTACGAAGCCGGGCCAATACTTTAAAAAAAGTTAAGAGATCGTAAGTTCATCAGCCAATCATTGACGGCCTTTCAAGCAGAATTCATCAATCATAGACAAGAAAATAGAGCGTAAGTACTTACGTTTACTTAGCCAGTTTTGAAAGTATGGCCCCTGATCTCCAATCAATGACACAAATCGTCGGCCTCCTCCGCGGAGCGCCGCGGGTTCTGCTACCATGCAAGCAATTCACACGCAGCCGCCGCTGATGTTCACTACGCGTGCGTTCCCATCAGTCAAGCAGCGTAGGCTTTACTTAAGGTTATCCGAAAAGATGGACGAATTTTTAAGAATAATACCATGGAGAAATTGACCGGGAGTTAATAAGATCGAGTGAATTGGACGTCAAGCTTAGAGGCTATTTTCGAATACGTAGAACTTGACTACTAACAAATTTCGCAACAACTTCCACAGAACGTTACCCGGCAGAAATGTGTCATTCATTCGTAGCTCTTAATAGTTGAGTTTACGATTGAAAAATTCAATAGAAAAAAGAGAATTATTTGTACTGAACATGTAAACTTTCCTAATAACCGAATCACGAACTTCTTAGGACGGTAAAAGTTAAAGTAGCTGGAAACGGTCATCTTGTGAACTCCTTGTGACGAAAAATATATGTGGAAGCATTAATATAACCTGAATTTACGTGCGTAAAAACTTGTCAAGGACGCGTCGAGAGCGACGCTGAGACTCGCGCAAACACCAGCGACTGCAATATTAGAGTGCGACGTAAACACGCGAGGAGTTCAAGAGAGAGTGCACGGAGAGGGAGAGAGTGCACGGAGGGAGAGAGAGAGTGCACGGAGGGAGAGAATGCACGGAGGGAGAGAGAGTGCACGGAGGGAGAGAGAGTGCACGGAGGGAGAGAGTGCACGGAGGGAGAGTGTGCACGAAGGGAGAGAGAGAAAGAAGAGGGTAACATGGAGTGAGAATATAGAGGTGAGAAGAGAGTAATAGGAAGGCACGTAGTAACAGAAAAGATGGGAGTTGACGACGAAAAGAGGATGGCATGTAGTTGAAGCGAAAGGAACGCAGTTAAAGAAAGTAAACGGGAGGCGCAAAAGTGGGAGATTGAAAGTGAGAGATAAGAGGAGTGAGAGTAAGTAGATAAGAGGAGTGAGAGCTCAGTGAAATTGATTGGCATTGAGCCGATCGCCTGCGAGATTTCTGTCCATGTGACAGAAATGGAGTGGACGAACAGTGATCAAGGACGGTCAGAAGTTACAAAGACAAGAGAGAGAGAGATGAAGTGTCGCATGTCAATATATTTCTCTGTGCTAATGCTTTTGCAAAAATGCACCAGCCAAAACTTGATGGTAGAATAATAAACATTGAGGAAAGAGTGAAAAAAATTTAGGGTTTACGTGTTTTCAAAAAAATTCAATAGTACTTTAATAATTTTCTAAAATAATTACAAATTTGGACAAATAATGTTAAACAAAAACGTGGGCTCCAATAAATTTGAAAGGGCGATTGAATTTCATTTAAATTGTTACTATGCAAACTGGAGAAATTCGAAGTGTTCGGATTTAAAATAAGTTTACTGCAGCTCTAGATGGTCCCTACATAGTCCATGCCATGCAAAAGACCCCCAATACTCACCAGGTTGTTGCAAGATATCTTCTTCAGCGACCGTCAAGAAATGCCGCGCTTTGGACTCGCGGCCGCGTCTTTTGTCGTCTCCTCGCTGCGGCCCCGCAGTCTCATCGCTCGCAGCAACGACTTCCTCGAGGCCCTGAACCTGGGAGTCTATGATCTCGGTATTGATAGTTTCAGTATCGGACTTGTCTGAGTTACTGATCAGGAAATTCGTATTTTTTGGATTGGTAATACGAGCACTGGAAATGTTTTCACCTTCGCTCGAGTCTGTCACACGACTGTCCTTTATTTCAGACGTACTGTCATTATTGCCAACGACAAAATCGATGACAGCTTCATCAGCAACAATTCCGATAGAGTCTTCAGCTTCTTGGTTTACATCAGCAACATTGCTATATTCGGCGTCAACAGAAGGTTTTCTTTTTTCAACGTTAACAACGTCATCAGCTGTATTGTTCAGGTCTGTTGTCAGAGTAGTTGTATCGTCGCCATGGTTATTCGCATCAAGGGCCACTTGATGAGCGTCGTCTTCTTCGCCTTCCTCAAAACCAGAAGAAGCCATGTCAGGATCAGCGGTAAATGTTTTGTCTTTGACAATCAAGTGTTGAGCCGCAACGTTTATTGAAGGTTCGGGAGATACTTGCCCATGAGACGTCAAGTTGGGAGCCAAAGATTCTTCGCCGATAATCAAATCTGATTGCTTTCCGTCTGATGGTTGTTTTGGCGCGCCAGAAGACTCTGGTTTTTCAGACAAAGAGCTTTCACTTGTGGCCGACGTAGGTGACCCCAAAGACGATTTTTCTACCGCAAAGATCGAAGTGTCAGGGGAGGTTTCATCATCTATTTTGGTTACTCGCGTTGTAGACGGAAAGCTTCCCGCGGGCCCTAGTAGGGGCGACTGAGATGCGGTGGCTTCAACCAGTGAAGAAGAATGAGAATCTGATGGCTCAACTGCCGCCAGATTCTCAGAATTTCCTTCTGCATCGATGTTCGATTTGGAGATCACTTTCAAAATGGTGCCATCGGTCATCATTTGGTCGCTAGCTTCAGGGAAATCTTCTTTAGGGAAGGACGAAAATACTGTGGCTTGGTGGGCGTGATCAACAGAACGCACATCAGCAGCATAACAGGAGTCGACTGTTGCAAGAATGGCCACGACGGCAAACAGGAGATTGTATTTACCGCCGCAGATGACGAAGGGCGTGATGGCTGCGTGCATCGCCATCTTCCCTCTGCAACACGAAAGCATTTGGTTACTACTACTTCACTAGATATGGAATTAAAAATGTTCACTGAAGACACACAAAACCTGGATTGTATTCATGGTGGATAAAATAACTGACAACCTGCAAATTATTTCTTGTGAAACATCCAAGTCTTACAGAATCATCCTAACCGATCAAACTATAAAACAAAAACAGAATAATTCTGTACTTAGAATTAAATTAAATTCAAACTAAGAATTAAATTAAATAAATTTCTCGTAACAAAAATGATAATAAAGTTAAAAGAAAATCTGAACACATTTTTCTAGAGTAAAATGGCTTTCCAAAAGGCTTAAATTATCCTTCAAGCCAACAGTTCCAAATAGATTTTATTGTGTTTATCTTTGGCAACAAAGTCTACAAAATATTTAATAAGGTTTTAAACTCGCAATTCCAATAAGATTGTAGAAGTAATGTAAACATATTTCCTCGCTCAATTGCATGCATTTTCCAGTATAAACTTTTCGTATGCTGAAGTCAAAGGCGCTTCCTCACAGTACCGAGTCCAAATAATTTTCCAGCTTTTCCCCACCTGGGGAGGCCAGCGCGCGGAGACCTTAAACAAGTCGCTGTCTAACGTCACAAGCCTCATTAAGGTCACATACATTAAGGGCATATAATAAATTCCATCAAGCCCACATGCTAAAGTCAGAAATGGCTACAGGATTGTTTTTGCTTGTTTCCACTATCGTACTTTTTGACCGTGCTTCCTTCAGTCTAAAATTTTTTTTCTCCCCCTGTTCTCTTACAAATTCCATCGAGCACATATGTTAAAGAGAAAAATGGCTACAGGATTGTTTATTCTTGTCTCCACTATCGTACTTTTCGACCGTCCTTTCTTCAGTCCAAAAATTTTTTCTTCCCCTGATCTCTTACCCTTATAAGCTCTTCACTTCAAGTAGCCCTGACCGCATCATCGGCGTTTTCTTATGCACTAAATTGGTCTCCTCGAGGCTGTATTTCAGGAGCCTGTCCCTCATACTGAAATGTGTCCCCTATAAATCGGGGCGACGTCGGAAACGCGTTCCGCAAAAGTGGCTTCGAGCTTCCAATTTTCCGTTTCGTCTCCTGACAAGAATTACGGCATTCGTTTAGATCGCCCGCTCGTTGTAAAGACTGGCGCGAATTTCCTTTCAATTGTTGGTTCTATCACACACTGTTATTTAATTTGTCTTTTTAAACTAAGATTACTGGTCTAGCTGGTGAAAACTACTTCGGCCTTCACAATTAAAAGGCAAAGGCATTAAGTAACCTTTTGATTGAATTCATCATGAAAGAATTCATTGAGAATGTCAAGAAAAAACTACAATAAATTCATCGGTCAATTCGCCGATTTTTAAGCGTCCTTGCCAAACGAAAGTAAGCAAATCTAGACTTCTCGTCCTATTAGAACTTAGCTGCTCATTGCCCTAATGAGCCAAGTTTGACAGTTACGAAAATTGGCAAAATAAACTTTTGCTTTCTACGCAATCAAAAAATTCTTTCTATTTTATGTAAGTTAAGACTGAAAGTTACTGTTTAGAGAAACGTTCATCATCAAAAAACAAACGAATTTTTTCTTATGTGGTTTGCGAGGGCGATAAAAACTGGTGCGTTGCGGGGCCGATGAAAGCCATGAAGAATAGCGCTAATTAGGGCTGAGTGGCGCCCCAGACGGGGGGAGGGAGGGAGGGAGGGGGAAGTGGCAGGCGTCGACTGGGGATGGACCATTATTACTAATTAGTGTATTGATCATAAGTGAAATGAAGGTCGTTTGGCGCTGGTCATTGATCATGAGTGGCATGAGACATGCATATGCTGTAATTATCATTTCTGAACTTGAAGATGCAAAAAAGTCAAGCTTGCGGGTGTTGGAGCTGGAAATAACGGATTGAAAAGTCAGCCTCGTATGCAAAAGCCGACCTCGAAGAATGCACGTGCCGAACTCCACAGAAACAAGAACCAATAAAAAAATTGTTACAAACAAGAACCAAAAATTAAAATTGACGAATGCTGCAAATTAGGAAACTTTTAGGAAATGAAGCTACTGGATGCGGGTTATTGGGTTACAGGAGCTGAACTACGACTACTAATAAGAGTGGCTTGTAGCTAGTTGCTACAATCAACAATTATAAGAAAGAACAATTAGTGTCAGCCCCTATCAATCGATGTTTAGTAATAATATATAAATTCAAGATTTATTCGTAATAACTTGGGCGAATTTGGCCTATTAGCTCACGAAGTAATTTGCCAGCCGTTGAGCTCGTTTCAAGCCCCGTAGAGAGCGGGAAGCACACAAAATTAAAGGTGAGAAACACGGCTCGAATTATCGTCACAAAATAAGTTCCATTTGCGATGATGCAAGGCTACAGCCATAGTGCCAGACGTATTTTTCAGAGCCTAGTGGCTTTCCTCGTTGGAAGACGACGAATTTTGACGGCAATTATCGCGGGAAAATCTCAAGGGCAGTGCCCCGGTTGTCAAAGTTTAAGTCGCAACTTTGAGCGAGCGGCGAGGAATCTTTGCATAATTAATATCCCTCGCATCATTAAACTTTGCATTTTTATAGGACTTAAATAGACGTCAGACGGAGCAAAATTAACGCCTGCACTAACCCTGAAGATTTATTCGTGGGGCCCACGTGGATGAGCCATGAGGCTTGGTGAAAGGAGACGTCAAAAATGTACGGGATTAGATTATAAGGGGCAATTTCATAATGCATGCGAGGCAGGTAAAATAAAAACGTCAAAAATGTTTCGGGACTATATGATAAATTGTAATTTCATCATTCAGTCGAGGAGGATATTCGCAATATATTGGTTGAGATTATGAAAAGAAATTCTAACATTACGTTGCTGCAAATTTATCGTACCGGGACCATTTTCCGCCGCACAACGTACATTGAACTACATCTTCAAAAGGAACTTAGGAAGACGTCAAAAATGTACGGGATTAGATTATCAGGGCTAATTTCATAATGCATGCGAGGCAAGTGAAATAAAGTAGCCAAAAATAATTCAAGACTATATGATAAATTGCAATTTCATAATTCAGTCGAGGAGGGTAATCTCAATCTATTGATTGAGATTATGAAGGGCAATTCTAACATTACGTCACGGCAAATTATCGTAACCGGGACCATTTAATTTTACGCCGCACAACCTTGGATTGCAACTACAAAAGAAAGACGTCAAAAATCCTAGCGATAATAGATGAGATTATAAACCATCATTTCCTCATACAGTCGAGGAAGGTACCGAACAAGAAAATTCAACTTTGTACACAAGTAATGATAATTCAGCGCACCAGAACACGTAAATGGATTTAGTTTAGAGACATGCGGTTAATATCAAGCCTAATCGACCTTCATGAAGCTCACTGAGCAGCAGTAATTAATGAAATCCGGAACGAAGTTTAAAAGCGCAGTAATCCATGTGTACAAATTAGTCATTAATAACGTTATTCGTACGTTTCCTTTAATATTTGACGGTATGAAATTCGATAAACAATCACTAAAATATAACATAAATTGGTAGACGAAATATGAATTTGCGAAAGTAAAATGCACAGAAAATGCGCAGTTTCCCTGCTGCAGACCAAGCATAATAGCATATTTTACGGGTGCCATTTTAGGACAGCAATTAAATGGCAATATCGGGAGCGCGGTAAGCAATAAACGCCTCAAGCAAGTCCCTCGAAGCCGCCTAGGCAATACAGCAATGCTGCTAAATGGAGTGTAGCAATATACACGACACAGCAAAACAAATTCGTATAGACAACAGCAGGCTGTATATATAGGCCGTGTTACGTCTGCACGCAACGGTCTTGTATTATCATCTGCACATTAATAACTGCAATAGCACAAAAAGCATTACAGCAATATGAACAGTTAAGCATGCGGCTGCAATAATAATTTATCTGATATTGCGTTCAATTGCTGTTCGAGAAAAAATGCTATTACACGAAATAAATCAGAGTACTTCACTGCGATAAATAATTTAGAACGAAATGAGGTTTCATGAGCCACGATATTTGAGCGATGCAATAAACCCTTATGTGATCATCCCTCATGCGACTGAAGCAATGAGCGTCGATGCTTGCCATCATAAGTTGCTTTTGCACGCAGTCACCTAGCTCCTTTCCTCGATCCTATCCCCCTTAATAAATCCAAACAATTGCCGTAGAAATTTTCTTTGAAGGGAATGGTGTGTATCCAATGGAGATTTGCAATGAAGATTACTCGCAAGCTTGGCTCTACGTATTTCGTGATTCTCAGAGAACTATTTGCGATTTTTGGTAATTAAGAAGTAGATTGGTGTCGGTGCACAGACTGAACGGTAAAATAAATAATTAACAAAGAATAGAACACGGTATAAAGTGCAAGTTAGAATCTAGACTCGATGGCGTTCCATCCGGAAATATCGTGCTAAAGTACGTTAGGAATTTTGATTGAACACAGAAACGCGACTTTTCTTCAGATTGTGCATATTTCTGCCAAATAAAATGAGGTAAAGATTGCATTGCACAGCTGATATTTACAGACGGTTTCCTAATTGAGCGAGTAAACGGTACTCTTCAAATCAATCCAGGGATAAAAACATCAAGTATTAATAAACTAACCCTTTACGTTTTCTAATTTTTAATACAAAATTTCTTAAGGAGGAAACTGTTTCAAACAATTTATCCGAAGCAGTATATAAAGCCCCCGGACACAACGGTAAGATGGTCACCAAGACACTCGATACAAAGACGGAATTTAGCCGATGACTTTAATGGGACATCGAGCGCACGAACGGCCCCCGGACTGATCATTTGGACCGAGCAACTGCCCTGTATCCTGGCACGCGATTTGCAATGCAGAGCAATGCGCCGCGGAAGCTGTAGCCAAAGAACTGCATGAGGCGCGTCTGGCCGTAATTAAAGCATTGGATTATCGGAGAAATTCGGCAAGGGATTCATTGACAATGGATGAGAAAGAGGCGACATTTCCTTGCCAATGAGACAATGTAACGGTGGGACAAAAATTGTTAGTTGAAGGAGGAAAATAATTCTAGAAATGTGCGACAAAAAATAATATCACAATGCATATTACTATAAAACTAAGCAAATAGAAAAAGAATACAAAACTATCATCTGATGCTAAATGTTACAATTTCACACTATCAGTTCATATGCGCCAAGTGCTATAAAAAAACGACAACGGAAGATAAGCATGACCGGAGATAATTATCAAGATTTTTGACAATCAAGAATAATGAAATTTAATCCATTAAGAGATTCATAACTGAAAGTATTTCGTAAATAAACTAACAAATTACGCTGTACACAAAGTAGGAAAATTTAAGACAAAAAATAAACAACCAGAGATAAAAACTCAGTCAAAAATAGCAGACTTACCGCGAGTAAAAAAAAAAGACGGGGAAATATCAGTGGCACTGCAACATCGAAACCTTCTCAAAAGGGTTCGACATATTCTAGTATCAGCTCATGAGCCAGCTGTCATGCACGAATTAACAATAATATTTCTAATACTAACCTTTTAGTGATGAAGTCAAACAATAAATATCATGTAGCACAAACATACCGATTGCTTCACAGACAGCTCGAGTCAGCACCTAAAGAAGTGACTGTACCTAAGTATGTCGAGTCGACTCAAGAACGGAACGTTACTCTCACATTGTGATAATCCCCTTCTCTTTTAACTGACTGCATAATCGTGAAATTCAACTGAAGGTGATATAAAGTTCTCAAAAACCAATCATAAATTATTTCTATCTCTCGAAAGCTTTTACACTCACAGAGAAGAGACGACCTCATACTCTATCAGTTTGACTGGAATCATATTAAATGCTCCGTCACGAGACTCCAGGATCCTCAAAATCTGGGTTTAAATCTCATTCTTTCAAGCCATTAAAGACTATTTAGGAAACTGAAGCTAGCAAGAGGCTGTAATATATATCAAAACAAGCATTAGAAGCTGAGATACTGTAAGCACCAGCCG